ATTCTAAAACTATTATAATTTAATGGAGCTTTCTAACTAAAACACAAATGCAACAAAATAATTCCTTTATTTGCTCAATCTGAACTGGCAATAGCAGCTTTCAAACTATATGCAAAATGACAAAACTTCTATTGAGAACAAAGTAGCAATGTTTGTGATTTACTTAATCAAAACAGTCTTTCTACTGGCTATAACTAATGTAATAGCAATCATCACAGAGAATTACTGGAAATTTCAAAGACTGGATGCGATAGAAATATATGGCAAGTGGTTCTGATTTGTTAGTTTATATCTCTTAAAACAAAACAAAAAATTGAGGGACATAGAAATTATGCTATGACTTAGAAATATCTACACTATAATGATTAATTTATGTTAACTTCATGACATTACAGAATGGTGATGAAACAGAAAATAGGAAAATTGGAGCAAACATATATCACACAACACAGATAAATAAAGATTAAAAATTTATTTAAATATTTCATTTTAGAATTAAAAGTTGTATAATATTATCCCTCTCACTACGGGATTGGATAACATTTAAAGGATAACAAGGGACCTCTTAGTCCATCTAGACTGTCATATCCACTAAAGTAAACTAAAAACTTAAAACATCAGCCAACCATTATCATCCAAATACTTATCAAGCTTTCCTTTAACTCTTTCAGCATGAGTTTGGTTCCTAGGACCAACCTCATAACCATTTTGTGATTGTTATAGTTTTCATGCTATAACTCTTAAATTAATAAGTGTATGTTCATGAAATTTGGCAAATTATCAGTAAACATTACAAGGCTTTCATATGCCAGATATAAAAATTTTTTTTATTAAGTCATAAGGTTTGTAAAGCAATGTTTTTCTCATGGCTTTTTTCTTGTTTTTGCATGTTGCCTATCTAACATACAATGTAATTTTCATTTTAAGATTAAAAATACTTTAATGCATCAGAAAATTTTCAAATTTCACACAAAAAAATCTTTATAATGTCCAGATAGTTATCATATGTTTCTTACGAAAAAACTTTATATATCTTATCTGTTGTTTTCAGTAACGAATCTCTGTACGGGTTTGGTTGATATGACCAATCTTGTCATCACCATAAAAAATTAGGAAACAAATATACATTACGCCCTATTTTTTCTAGAATGGCTAC